AAAAACAAAAAGAAAAACGGGTGGATGCAGCCGATTCGAGAAACGTAAATGACGTCACTTCTATACTGAATGAATCAGAAGAAGTAGGCACAAATATCTGCCTACTGTGTGTGCATACTGAATACTAGGTACTAACAGTATGCAGCACGGATAGTAGGTACTGGCAATTTGGATATGGCCTCAGTGTTTATGTTTGCTTGATGTCTCCTGTTTGTGTGTGTGGATGGATGTGGCCGGCCCAAATAAATGTCTATTTCAACTGAGAAATCTGCAACCTGGTTGCTGATCTTTTTCCACTCACACTGCCTGCCTTCCAGAAGTACAACATACAGTTAATCATCTGGCACATGGAAAGTGTAAGCTGATGCTACATTTACTCATAATATTATTGAATATCATTATGTTACTGAACCACTGATACATTTAACACACACATCAAACAAATAAGGCCCAAAAATATGTTTAAAAACTTTTTAAAATTTTGCTTTCACGACATTAGTATGCTTCATTGTTAACGTACTGTTTCATTTGAATCAATGTGAAAACAAAGTAACCACATACTAGAAGTGATAATTTGTTCATTTTTTAAAAATAAAATCATTGCATCTCAACTTATAAATGTCCTCACAATCTAAATGTGAGGAAAATATATGTGAATAATTATTCTCACCATGCAGCACCCTGAGCTTTAAAAAGAATATCAATGTTTTAAATCAAACCTTGAATTTCAGAGTGTTTCTTGAGTGCTCTGCCTACTTCTACAGATTCTTTATCCATGTATCACCAAAAACCACAAGATGTTACTGTACAAAGAACCACTTCCCTGCTTCTATCATGTCCAGACATGTTCTGCAGCCTATCATCTTTATGAGGCTGAAACATCTTGTTGTACTCTTCAACTACTTCCTGCTCTTACACACCAAAATCAGATTTGAAACCTATCGGCTATCTATAAGTGCAAAGTGCAGCAGAGCATCTTGGCGCGAAATTGGAAATCCACAGAGTAACACAGGCTTGTCCTTGTGCAACCCACTGTCCCTGTTCTCCATGAAAAAGTTTATTTGTGTAAAATAGCTCTACGAGCAATCACTCCACAGGCAGGGATGATTGTAAGAGGTAGTGGGGGGGCGATATAATGGGGGGGTCTCCAGCAAGGAGAAGATTTAATTAGTGAAATCTCATTAAGTCTAACAAAATTAAGCGTAAAACAATCCTTGGTGGGGAATAGTGCTGGAGGTTTTCGGGTGAGGAGAGGGAGGGCAAGAGTGGGGGACACTTAGGGGCTGAGAGGACATGGAGACTAGATGTGCGATTAGTCCGGTCTGTGTGCAGGAAAAGACAAACAGCTTAGTATAACCAGACCTCCTCTGGCAATCAGCTAGAGACCGCCATGAGTGTACAGATCCCCCATTGTCTTAGCTCTTATTTCAACTGTGGCCTCATCCTAATATAAGGGCCTTTGCAGGGTTTGACTATATGCAATTGACTAATTATGATTCAGAGGACTATTTTCAACAGCAAAGCGTTTGCAAAAGAAACACTGGACATGAAGGAGTTGTTGTTCCAAGAGGAGGAGAAAGAAGCTGTGTGGCAAATGCAGTCAAAGCTGCTTTGCATAAACAGATGCTTCAAATTCCCTTAAAGTTCATGTTATTATCGCCCAGTAATGACATTTTCATTTAAAAATTTAATTTCTGGACTTAGCAGATGAAATAGGAATTGGTAGAAATAGGTCAATGTTCGGAAGAAAATTTGCCCAAAGTTACAGACTGTAGCTCAGTTGGTGGAGTCAGTTTTCTCTTAACCAAGAAAAAGTTGGGAGTTCGATCCCCAGCTCCTGCAGCCACATGTCTGATGTATCCTTGGACAAGACACTTGACCCTAAGTTGCTCCTGCTGCTTCATCAGCCTCGTGCAAATGGGATTAGTTACTTCTGATGGACACTTTAAATAGCAACTTCTACCATCAGTGTGTGAATGTGTAGGTGTGGCCTGCAGTGTAAAAGCACTTTACACTACACTTTACAGATTCTGCATATGTGCAGGTGTGAGACCATTTGTTGGTATGTGAAAGGTTCTGGTTCTGTTTTTGTAGTACAAGGAGTATCATGTTTCACCTATATTTCTGTATGCAGGGAAAGAGTCCATGTAGAGAGCAAAAAAGGCAGAATGCAATCTAACCTAGTGCAAACCAAGAACCAATCATTATGTCATCTACAAAAGTTCAAGCTTTACTTTATGTCTTTTAACAGAAATATGCACACAAGTGAAGTTTATAATCCTCTTTGGGATATCGTATTTCAACACCAACTCGATTCTCGATTCTCAAGTCTATAGGTGGACAACCTTGATCGTCAACCACTGGCTACACCAGAACCCCTGAGAGTTGGCCGTAGATCTTAGGGGCATTTATGTTCATCAATAGGCGATGGGCTCTAAGATCGGCCTAAACTTAACCAAATAGATAGTTTCATGTTTACAAGGTTTAAGACCAAATAAAAAAAACAAAAAGAAACAGCTGCTATTTGGGGGTCATTTGGAGATATTGTAGCAAGCTTTGCTATTTGTTGACCTCTGATGAGAACATGTTGGTTATGCAACATAAGCAATTGAAGCTCCACAGATTGTATGCTGAAACACCTGTATAGATGCATGGCTGTGTGTATATATACATGTCCTAGTCTCCTGCAGGAAAGTGAAGTCTTGATACATATACCATCCACCAGCTAAACCATGACATCAATACTTTCAGCCTCACTACATTAGGACACAGTGGGTGACTTTCTGTGTTGCCATTACTTGCCGACATTATTTGTAAGCTTTGAAATGCAATAAACCAATCAGAAGTGAACATGTGACATCCATGACTCAACCATGTGTTGTCAAGATGATATTAAGAAAAACTATTCAGTCATTTAAAGTTAACAAACACTATCAGACTGTTGTTATCAGGAGTAGTTTCCTGATATTTTTATAAAAGGGAGCACTGTCTTGTAATTTTTTCTCTTTTCATGATTCTAGTCAACCCCCACCAAACCCAGTGGCACATATGAACAGAAAACACAGATAATGTATTGGGACAAAGGTCCAAATTCTAATGGATAGCACTCTAATGTGACCAGAAAACAGTGATAGCTTCTGTACACGTCTTCCACATGAAAGCACAATTGTTTTGTGATCTCAGTGTCTTATGAAGAGAAACATGATGCAGATAAACTGAGAAAAGATGAATCAGAGGGATGGGTTTTCTCCATGAACTAGAGATGAAAACCAAAAATAATCATTTCCAAATTCAGCAGGAAATTAGTCGCAACATGGAGGAGCAGAGGATGTAGAAGTCTTTTAGCTTATTTCATTCTGAGCCATTGGGACTGGCAATAATATTAAAATGCTCCAAGACAGCAATCTCATCCTGATTTATCACAACAATGTTTCTGTGTTGACTCATGTTGTGGTTGATATGGGCAACAGCAACATACAACTCTGGCAAACAATTATTTGCACAACCCTCTTTATCACTGTATTACTTTGCTTGGAACAAAAAAGTATGACCTTTGATCCCTAAAAAGAGTTTCTTCGTCTCATAATGACAATTCTAAATAGCTGCTTTATGGAAATTGTTTGGTGCACTTACTTTAACTTGCTCAAGTAAAAGCACCTGAACACAATATTTGTCAAGCCAGAGGAACAAAAGTACACCAAAGAAAGTAGCCCATTTTAGCCACCATGGTGGGAATGACATTTAGCTTTGCAATTCTGTTCCAGCTTTGAACTGATAGAGCTCGGTTGGGGTCTAAATGGGAGAGCTGGAAAGGCACGAGAGGGATGCAACAGTTCGAGGAATTTTTAGATGTGTGACTCAACAGCAGCGTGCAGCAAACTCAAATAATACAAAGAGGAAGTTTGAAGCTAACTCAAAGCAACCCAAAATGTTGGCAAATTGGGGAGTCCACAAGGTAGGAGCCCCCTTACCCTCCACACAGAAGATAAACCAGGTCAAAGGCTATATAACATGGGTGGTATAGGGCAATTATTACTGTTTTTGGATGTACTTTTAGCAAAGAATATGTAATATGTCACACAAGAAACCAACCCTGTTGTGTTTCAAATACTCCATTTGCTTTTGGTGTTTGGTTCAGTTAAAGAAAAAAACAAAGTATGCATATTGATGGGCCTTCTCCAAAGCATTTTATTCTTATATGTTTTGGTAAAATGGGTTGAACTCTGTTGTAGAAGGTAAGTGAGTAAACACAACAAGGATAACATACAGTCTGAGTGAAGTTGGAAGGAAGGAAAGAAAGCTCAAGTCATTGGTATCAATAAAAACCATATGAGGACATAAATCGTCTGTTGTCATAGCAACTGCAACAACCGCTATCAGCAACAGCAAAGAAACGAGCACCAGCAATCAGTATACTGCCAAATTGTAAGTGTCAGTGGAAAATGAATGGTTGTCGTCCATCATTGGTCAGAAACATTGTATTTGTCGACAACATCATAATGTCAGTCAGTTCAATTTCAAACCCAGTAAAAGTGTTTAGATAGCACCACATCGCAATCAAGCAATAACATCCGGTCATTCTCATTGAATCCAGCGTCAACACTTCACCCTATCAGTAGGTCTGAATCATTTTTATCTTGGTCCAAGATGATTGAAGTTTCAGCAAGAAATAAGCACATGAATCTAAATTCTCCTTTAAGTGTTAATGCAGAGAAAATGTGCTCGGGGGATTGAGATGATTGTTAGGTTTAAAGTGGCCTGAGTAAAGTGCAGCAGGGTAGTCATTAACAGTGCACTTTGGCATGTCAATGTGTGTTAAAGCATGAATTACATTTGATTGTGAGCTCTTAAATTAAATCACAGGTCGTTGTGCTCAACTCCAAAGAAAAACAGATTAGTCGGCCAAACTTGAGAAAGTCTGTCTGGGGGAATGAAAGTTTTCTCCCTGAAACATCTACTCGAAGTTGCTCACAGCGTTGTTAATGACGTAAGTTACTTACAGTTAGCTTGCCAACGGCAACACGTCAGCTTTTGATGTTGTTCTCAGCTCTGTGGTCTGGTTATCCAACTCTCCACACAAGCTCTGTTAACAGAAAAGAAGAATTAAGTCATTTAGATTGATCATCATTATACAAGAGAATGCATTACTGAAGGTGACGCACAGGATTAGTGAGAAAAAGGCCAATGCTGGCAGAGGTTGCTACGTTAAGTGACAATCAGAAGTAACTAATTCCATTCATACACATTCTTAAGCTGCCGCTAAAGAAGCAGGAGCAACTTTGGGGCTAAGTGTCTTGCCCAAGGACACATCGGACATGTGGCTTCAGGAGAAAGACAGACTCTACAACCTAAGCTTGAAAAGTTATTCACATCTTTAAGTGCATTTCCTGGAGATCGACCCAAGTGTTTCAATCCACAGGTTGTCAAATAACACTTGTCCTCAAAATCCTACTTTGAGGAGTATCTGTTTATTATCTGTTTCTGTAGCAAGGTTTGATTCAATCTGCTGTGAGGAACTTTCATTATGTGCCAATGTTGGCGACCCCTGAAGGCAAAGCAGTATCTCTTATCTCTTTGCTGATCTTGTCCTTGTCCAAGAGGAGGTGGAGTTTTCTAATAAAAATGTATCAATCAGTGAATCTTATCAATGGAATATATGGACGAAGGAAACTTTTTTGGCAGCATGCAGTCCATCACCTCAGACTCAGAGGAAGCTATAGGCGAGTAATACAAATGATAGAAATAGTCTTGATTGATTCTATAGGTCATATAGAGGCATCTTTATCCATTTTAGTCCATTTTATAACCTGCTAAAAAGCTACAACCACCGCCTGACATCCACCACCATTGGAATGTGTCGTCTCCACAATCACCGCCATCCTCATTCATGCACGGCCTGCTCCGACCTCCACCTCAGTGACAAGGAGGTGTGGACAACAGGAACGCAAGGAATACAAAGGAGAAACCCTTCCTGCATATTGTCCCATATGCTCTTTTGTAAAGCGTCTCAAGATAACACTTGTTATGAATTGGCGCTATAGGAATAGATTCAAGATTCAAGATTTTTATTTGTCACATGCTCATACAGATGTGCAGTGAAATGTAACGACTGTTCCACAAGGCCATGCAATAAACACTCAAATTACTAATACACATAAATACAGTAATATAGAAATATAATGTAAAATTAAAAAAGAAATATTTGAATATGCAAAATATAGAATAATGTAAACAGCATAAAGTGTCAGTGTGTAAAGTGTCCAGGGTGTCAAAGTGCAATGTGCAGATTGGAATGTGTGGTGTGTGTGCATCATGTAATCTGTTTTTCATAATGATTGATTGACTGATTGAGTTTTAGGGGCCTATTTTTAGGTCAAGTATTCTTCTTTCCTCCACACTTCCTGAGCATCTGCATTCTTCCTTATATAACTCAAAGTGTGAAACGGTGTGTTTGGTTTTGGTTAAGGCACAAAAAGTTTGTGACCAAATGTAGGACCAACATCATGGAATGGGTTTTTAAAGGAAAAACTTAGCTAGTCCTTCTTTCCTGTCATTTTAAGCAAACACTCTTCAGCCAAAATGTCCTTCATTTCTATATATTATATCATTTTGATATATGATGGAGAGAAGTAGGACTATCTAATGGTTAGATGTCAAAGGAAATGAATGCAAAGTGATACGTATCAAATGACATGTGCATGTCCAAGTGCTTTTTAAGGATACACCATATCTGTGTTTTATTTGTTTATATGATGGCCATTAACTTGATTGGTCCTTTTTATTATTTATTTTTATGACTCAATCACAGCAGAAAAAGTATCTTTTCCTAATATCCACAGACACAGGTGGAAACAGGGCGGTCAGAGAGCAACTCTAACTTAAATTCCTGTGAGGAATCGACTGGCCGGCCCACACGGAGCGCAGCGCCGCAGAGAGAGAGTTATGGCGCACATGCAAAAGATTTAAGTTCAATCAAGCATTCAGGGCCGGACACCTGATCTTTCGCTTAAAGCTCCTTCAGAACAGTGGGAGTGTGGTCGGGCCTCACAGCAGGCCACCTTACCTCCAGCAATCTGCTAACACAGAGCCTCTGAAGGGATGGTATTTATCCAGAGCTGCACAGCTCAGCGGGGACTACTGAGTGTGTGGTAGGTAGGTAGGACCAGAGGCCCGCCGAGGATCAGGGGGAATAGGAATGAAAGCTGTGGAGATTTAGCTTGAGGAACAGAAACCTCTCTTTTTTTCCCCCAATTGCTCCACTTGAATCATGAGTTTAGGGCACCCTATGTGTTGGAGGACTATAGTCTCCAACACATGGGATGCAAATCAACCACCAGGCCATCTGCGCCCTTTTGATTCCAGCCAGGCTTCTGTATAACTCTGACTAAAGTGCATCTTGCAGATAGAACTTGAGACGATCCAGGAGTAACGCACAGACCTAAAAGACCTTTTTTTTCTTTCTTTTTTCAGGTCAAGCGAAACAGAAATAATTTCTAAAGTTAATAATGGGTCCCGCCTTCATGCCAACACCATGGAAACTCAAGCATGACTGTTTCACCATCTAGAGCCCTTTATTGAACACATAATGGCTAAACAACATTATTATTTTTGAAAGAAAAGTGCAGAACCATTCTTTGAAGATTGCTTCAAGAATTGCTTTTACACAAGTTATTATTGCTTTTTGGTGTCCACCATTGTTTTGTACTGCTTTTTATATTTAAACCAATGAGAAGGAATATGCTTCATGGCTTTAAGGTGTTCTAATACAATCTTTTAAATCAACTCATGAGCGCTACAATTTGGCAGTAAGTGAGCACCTTTTCTATTGCTTTATAATAATCAGCTTTTCACTCACAATGAATTCCTCAAATCAAAGTTGACTCAAGTGTTCTTCATTTGTAAGGAATACACAGAGATAGTTTTTGTCGATCCTATTCTTTATTTCTTCAAGCATCTCCTTTAACAGTCGAAGAATTGGAGCTCAAAAAGCTTTCAGGAAATAGCATGTATTATGATAGAAGGGACGAGCTCAAAGCCCAAGAAAACGAGGGAGTCTTTAAGATGTAGCTTGAGTTTCCCGGCCAAACATCCCCTCTCAGACCACGGGAGATTTGGGTGAGAGCATTTCTTAGGTTTCCTTCAGCCACAAAGAAAACATTTTAGCCCCCTCAGTAATCCCTCCCAAAGCCCTCCCTAAGCTCTGAGGGCCCTTCCTCCCTCAGTCGTCCCCTCCGGGCCCGGGCCTAGATCCTCCAGGAGCATCTCTGTACACACTCACACAGCTCACCGTCTCTCCATGACCCCTCGGGGACACGGCTGACCTTCCTGTTGACGTCAAAGTAAATCAGAGCGGGAGTCGCGGTGCAGCGAGGGGCTCCACCCAGGGGGCTGGAGGTCTAATCACCGTGTTCCTCGTGAAAGCCACAGAGGAAACATTAGCATTCCTGTATGTGCCTCCATCGCTCCCACTGCAGCCTGTACATGTGTACACATGTACACAAAGGCAGTCCGAGGAGGAAATGAAGTTATTCTTTTGCTTTTTTAATATAAAACAATGTCAGGGGCCATGGTGCTTAATGACAACTTCTTCTTTTGATTCTTTAAGTACATGTGCTTTCCAGTAAAAACAGTAAGCTAATGGATAATGATTGCCGTTTACAGTAGCCAATAGCCTTAAAATGTATAACTCCCGCCCCCCTTGACTTTTTAAACAAAACCCCAGCAACGCAAAGGGTTTGAAATGTTGTCCTTCAAGCTCTTTCCTTCTTTAAACTAATGGAGCTGAGTTAGTTACCATTTCTGTCTCTGCTTGTGTGTGAGAGAGCCTTTCTGTTTGTTTACTCTCTGAAGACACAACCACAGACTGCAAAAGAAGTGGCCTTCAATGTGAAAGCACCAATCGGTTTGCAGAACCCTTTGAATCCTTATGCTTGGATTATTTAGCCACGCCACCTTGTCTTGAGCGTTTTTTTTTTTTTAATCAGAGGTCGAAGCTGGAGAGGACTGTGGAGCTAATGCTCACTTTCCAGCTAATACTGGTGCTAGCTAGGTGAATCCTTAGCTCAAAACCTCATATTTAATGGAATGCCTGTATCTGACTTTAACAGAAATGTACTTTCTAAAAAAACAAACAGCTGATGCCTCAGTGTATTCTTGAACTCCTATGACTGAACACTGAACACTATGCAAGGCAATTAAAAAAAAAACAATTCTTCTTAGCAATGTGTCAGTGACGTGTAGTCAAGAATTACAATAAGAATTTGAAAAAGCACAAGTGTTTCAAAAAACAAAATCTGTACCCTTCAGGATTATTCATGAACATTTTTCAATGTTTTAAAGACAATGAGAGACTACGACTAAATACAATTGAGAAGGCCTGTAACAGTATTTGTATTCATCCTTCACCGTCACAGTTCAGTGCATGCAGTCATACAACGTATATGTGTGAGTGGAGAAAAAACGACAATCACTATGGCAGCAATCCCATCTCGATCCAGGTGGAGATAATGCTCGAAACTGTTTGCTAACCGTTATTAAACTACAAAGGAAGAAGAGGCAGACACATAAAAAAACACATGAAGAAGAAAAAGGAAGAAAGAAGGCACCATAGCTTTCCTCTTTAAATCAGTTCATATGGGGACACTTCAGGTTCTCAGGTCGATAGGTTGTGTCTACTATTACAGATAGATCCAAGATGCAGGGTGGAAGAAACTACAATTTACTGTAATACACTTCTAAATAACTGAAGTAAATCTAGAATTATGGAATTGGTATTTTTTGTTGCTTTTTTTCCCTCTTGAACCGAACTCGTACAGTGTCATGATCCCAAACCGAAGTAAAAACTGCACCATGAACTCTCTGAACTGTTACACCCTTACTATAAGAATACCTACAGCTGGGTATATTCTGTCACTGACTAACCAAATGCTGGCAAAAGAGTTAGCTTGCAATGCAAGACATAAACACCTAATTTGATTTCATGAAAAGCAAGTTTTGAAAACATGTACTCCTGTTAAAGGAAGAATGTGCAACATTTTACACATGAATATAGTAGAATCGAGTACTGCTGGCTGTACTATTGTCT